TGTGATCCGTGTGTGGTCAACCTGTTTCCTTCGTCCTTCCTCCTCGTTTTTCCACATCTCTGCCTCTCAGCTTAATGATGCACAGACAGACGGGGCAAGGAAGCACAGAGGACTGTTCGCTTACAGTATCAAAGCACCAGTACGCAAGCTGCTGTTGGAGGTGTTCCCATTACTGCCCTGAAAGCTTATACTGTTGTCATTTATCAAGTTAACTGGCTTTAAAAGAAAAAAAAACTAAATTCTCCTTTTTAAGTTATTATTATAATTACTTATCAAATAGGTAAGCAGAAAGCTATCAGTTCATTAAATATTGTCCCCATCCATAATTGCTGGATAGCTGCAGTTATTAAAATCCTCTATCCTTCCACTCTGAAGTGAGTTGAGGTGAGTGTTTCGGCACGTTGCCAGCGCTGGTAATGACTTAAGGGGGTCAGGAAGATATCAGAAGCTGGCATGATAAGTGATGACACCCTCATGGGAACAACTTTAATGACTTTTCTTGTCCAGGGAAAATGGACCAAGAAAGTCCGCACAATTTTACTGCAGAGAAACAGAGTTGAGATTTTCTCTTTGCAAACTATTAAAGTGTGGAAGTCTCAAAACGTGAAACACTACAGCACCGCATGGCGATTCAAAGGCATAATTTTCATCACCAGAAATTGTTCCTGCCCACAACATCACCATCTGCAACAACTATTTTAAGATACTCAGATGACACAAGTTACGGCGACATTTAATTTCCCTTCAGGTTAAATGAAAGTGTGATTGTAAGGTTCATGTTCAAAAGCTGTTCAATCAAATCTTTGTTCAAGTTGTACGACTAACCAAAGTTACCGATATTTTGTCTAAAACAACGAAGCAGACAGATATTGGGTCTGTTGTTTAATGTACAAAACTGATTTAAAATCCAACATTGATGATTGTCCCCAAGTAATACAAGCCAATTATAAAAATATGCAGATGTCCTCGAGGCTATTTAGTTCAGAGACGAGGGTTGGACCACATGAGGGGAGACTGGGGCTTAAGGGGGTTTTCTTAGAAAGGTAAACAAGCTCAAGTGACATAATGTGGGAAAACATCAGAAGCTGATGTTTTAACACTCCTCACTGTGAGAACCAGCTGCTTCTGCGCTCACAAGCTTGAAGGCATTCTAGAGTTCAGACGGTGCTGTTGACCAGTTAACTCAGAGTCCAGTTTCACACAGTCAGCACAGCAGAGGTGACTTCCAAAATCATGTGTGTTTGCAGCCAGCAGCTGACCAGTCCTCCTGCTCACCACAGCGTTCTGCTTCAACAAACATAAATACCAAGCAGGGGACTAGAGCAGAAACAGACATGCGTTCAAAAGACCCGCGACACATGCGATCAGACGCCTGAAGGTCAGCAGAAATGACACGCGGAGCTGCCAGTCAGCTGCCTAGCGATGTGCATGTGCTTGCTCGGAGAGCAGCCCAGCCATAGATACGGTTTAATTGAAGGTTGAAGTTATCTGATAGCATGCGACTCGGCTGTCAGTCAAGATGCAGTCACCGCGGTGGCGCTTGACAGTGTTCTGCACCGCTGACGACATCAGGAAATGGCTGACTTTCAAGAATGGTGAGGGGGCGGTTAGACAGACAGAATGATGGCGATAAGTCATACTCACAAACACATTAGCAGACTGATGTGGAGGGAGGTGGAGTGGGGCACACAAAATCAGAGGAGGGACACACTTAAGGGAATTAGAGCAGAGGTGGGCTGGCAAGGAGAGTTATTCTGGTAGAGTCAACACAGGAACCAGGCACCAGGACAATCTAATTATCGAGAGAAACCTGGTCCTGGCACATGCAGCCGGGTAGCAGGAGGCCTTGTGAGTGGGTGAGACCTTAGCCTAAAGAGATGACAAATCTTTGGAAGAGTTTTGTTTTTAAATCTGAGAAAAAAGTGTGCAGAAGTGCTTCAAAAAAAAAAAAAAAAACAACGCTGCCAAATCTTTCACAGCAGATGACGTGATGCCAAATCAGAGAACATCATTATCTGCTTTCATTGGAGAACCTGGAAGTCAGGAAGATGCAAACCTCTGGATATTTTTAAGAATTGTGCAATTTGGGAAATGAGCTTGAAAGTTTTGAGTCCTCAGCAGGGTCTCTTCTCCTTTAGCAGCAGACACAAAGTGACAGATTTCCCTTCCTTTGTTATTCATTTATTTTCTCTCTCCCTCTTTGCATCATCCATTCCCTTACCTTGCATCTAATTAGATTCGCTCTTTATCCTTCCTAAAAATACAAATGGGATAAAAAGACATTGTGACTCACTTTGTTCAGACTTCTTTAATCTCAGAACATGACAAGCTCAGTTCTTGAGGAAGTCTGCTGAACATTTTTCCACTGGTTGTCTGTAATACCCAGTTTTTTCACTCCAGCTGCAGTATTGTATAGAAACGTATATATTTGGGGTGCAAACCATGAATGTTGCACAATATTAGGAAGTGATGTGTTGGTTGGATGTAGAAGAGGGAATACATTTTTCAACGCACTGAGATGCAGATATGGAGAAGTCAGATTAAATTAAACCTTATATTGAAGTTAAACTATGACCTCATTTGAAAAAAAGCAGAGGGTGTGAGAGCGGTGAATGAGAGTCACATGGCTCTAAATATAAATTAGCTGTAAGAATGTAGCATAGTAGCAGCAAGTCGCTGAGAAGGATTTTGTTTTTAGTCACAGATGAGGAGATAATTTTACACTCACTATGTATAAGTTCAGATTTAGTCTGGAATGTGCAGATACCGCTGGTGGTACAGATGTTTCTGATGCTTATTTTGTGTTTTTTTTTTTTTTTTCTAAAATATTTAATCTCAGAGTATGTTTATTTGTGTACGGTCTGCAGCCTTCACAAGCTAAAGAGCCATGTTTGTCCTCAGTCCAGTTAAATAAGCCTTGTTTAGAGGAACAAAAGTTCCCTGACCTTTTGGAAAAGATAAAATAGAAATCTAATACAGAAAGAAAAAAACAAACAAAAAAAACACAGTTTGTGTATTATTTTTGGATTTTAAAATGAAAAAAAAAAAAACAAAACCTTATAAAAACCAGATGAATTTGCTTCTATAGAATGTTAAAATTTTTTGGAAAATGTAAAAAAAACAAAAACAAAAACATGATGTAGATATTAGACCTAGAAAATATTACTGGTTATTTTGTGTAATTATTTTGTGAGAATTCAATGCAATTAAGACATAAAAGACGGCTAAAATAAATATTACAATATGTACATTTAAGAGTAATTGTCAGTTTTTTGTCAAGCGAGGTAGGTGGCTGATCTGGTGGTGTGGTGACATCAAAAATGGATTTGTTAGAACATCAAAGCATATTAAATCATAATTGAATCCTGACTCCCAGACATGATTATGGTGATGTAGTTAAATGTTATGATATAAATGCAGTTTTTGTCCACTCCTCTGTTTCTCATCCGTCATCAACACTTCATACTTTCTCTGTGACCTTTAGTATCTAGAGCGCCGTCGTCTGTGTCAAGTGAGGGAAACTAACCGAGAACAAGCTAAACCTTCCTGACACTTAGAAAATATGAGACAAATAAAGCATCCAAGCAGCCCTTTGGGATAATCACACTGATGCTGTGGTGACTTTAAGTCTGCTAAATATCTAGGAGCTCTTATTGCATTACAGTGTTTGCAATTGTTGTTGGTTTTTTTTCCACCATGCAAACCTAGTTTCACAGAAAGTAGGATTTACTTCATTCAGCTCAGCGGCTGGCAGCTCCTGTCTGGCATTTACAGTTTTCCGTCTCTATTTAGAAATCTCACAAGGTTGGGGGGTTATATGTAGACGCAGGAGAGCTAAAACAGGAATGAGAAATGTGTGTGTTCCTTTGCCATTTTTAGGCTGTGAATCTCCAGAAGTCATCATGACCAAAATGGGGAAACCTAATTAATTTAGTGGCTTACTTGACAGCTTGTTGTAAGCACAACGCAGAGTCACCGCCCCAATTCTGCACGAAGCTCAGCATCCAGAGTGAGTACGAAGGCCACATAAGGATGCTGCACTTCACACTCTGTAGTGGGAATGATTCAGTTGACGTTGCAGGTGGCAATTATCATGAGCTTTAACAACAACAAATGTAGTGAAAATCTTTACCAATGGGGTCAGCAAGTTCAATTTGAGACTTTTTAAGACTTTTTAAATCCTGCCTGGAGTGAGATTTCAGATATAACAAAAATATAAATATAGAAGATGGTCAAGGTATTTGTTATATTGCAATAAAGAATAACAAAAACTGAAATGTCGAAGTCTATTTGTGGGTCTTGGCTTTGTGCTTCTCACTGAACCAATAGTGCCAGAATTAAAAAAGGTTTTTTTTTTTGTTTTCCTGTTATTTTTTGCGCACAGAGCACCTATGAATAAAGGTGTATCCATTCATGATAGATGCTAATGAAGCTAGCTAGCCTCAATAGCCTGGAGTCACAGAATGCAATGAAAATGTGCTCAGCGTTTTATCAAGTCAGGAGGAAAAAACTCATTCCATGTCCTGCTGGGTTCTGACCTGCTCCATCTACACCATCTCTTCTCATCAACGACAATATCTAAATACATCATACTCTAAAAAAACATCAAGGGGTTAAAGGAGAAACATGGCTCCACAGAAAAAAATATTATTTGTTTTCATCTTCGATATTCAAATGAAGAATAAAGCCGAATGAAAAAAGATATTATGTAGTTGTGACACTTGAGCAAGACTGCAATGATGGTGTAACTCATCAGCTTCAGTATTTCAGGTTTTAGTTTTAAAGAACAAACAAGCAAACTGCATCAAACTACGGGCTCTACCAGCTATTAGAACCAACTAATATCAATTTCTTGCTTTGTGTTTACCAACAGTTTTGTACACACAACAAAGTAACTATAAATATAAATGCAATATTCTGTTATGAAACAAATTGGATAATTTGTTTCAAAGCTTTAACATTGAGAAGAACAAAAAGAGGCTCAGAATTGCTGAACTTACATCTGGGTACTCTTTGACAGGCACAAACAGTTTTTCCTGCAGGTGAACGATGGGTCCGATGGGTTCGGGCAGCTCCAGCGGGTGTCTGTCCACAAGGCCGTTCACTGTGTCACTGTACATATCTTTACGCACTCTGTTGATCTCTGAAACATAATTAAAAAGGAACAAAGATTACTAAAAGGGCAATTATACGGTTTTGGTTTTATTTACAAAAAGTAAAAATCCTGCCATATTCACTTGATTGGTGTGCAAAAACCTAAAGTCATATGTAAACTCATGACCAACAGAAATCTGACGTAAATACACTGAAGCACAGAAGAGGATTGCATTTTTTTTTTACAGATGTTACAGATAAGGATGGCACCATTAGTAAAACATGCACACCTTCACATTCACTACTTGGCAGCGAGTCACTGACATTTTGCCTAATCTTCCCTTTTCTTTCCATCAGCGATACACCAATCAGATTTGTCATGACTAATTATAATTTCCTGCTTTCTAAGAGGTCAGGCCTGCTGATTTTTTTACATTTATTTATAAGGACTGAAACTTATTTGACCGAGATGATTGTTTTGAATCCGACACAGAATGAGGGAATTACAAGATTACCTCAGAGTGCATCAAAAGTACGAATTTGTGGTTCTGAAGCTTTTAAATAACTGAGACTAATCAATGTTCCTGCTTGAAGCGAGTCAAGCAGGAACATAGAAAAAGAGAATGTCAACATGGCAATAAACATAATAGTAGGCCGGTCACAATGTAACAGCAAATGTTGCTGGACGATAAATTGTCCCAGAAGTTATTGTAATAAACAATAGCATTTTCAAGAAGGATAATGGTAAAGGTGGTATAATAATCTAAGAACATGTTCACAAATTTCAATAAACTTTACAGTCAAATGAACATTTAACACAGCTGGATGATATTTTAAATATCCAAAATAAACTAAATTTAAACTATAAATAAAATGAATTATGAATTCTCTGTAAACAAAATGTCATTCAAAAAAGGGGCCTGTTGTGACCAAAGCACCAGACTGAAGACTTCTGCCATTCAGATTTTGGTAGAAAGACAAAAAGAAAAGAGAAAAACAATTAATAGAAAGTATTTAGCTTATTGTATTGCACCCAAGCACTTCCTTTGCGATTGCAATGCAGTTTTATATACTGTGCATCTGTACCACAGCAACTGTGAGGGTTAAGACCACTGCTGTTCTCCTCAGGAATCTGAGTGAGATGGAAAATAATAAGACCAGGCAGCTCTGATCCAACTAATATATCTCTTCTTACTAAAACATTCTGTTGCACTCACGCATGAAAAACCATTTCCTGTTGATTGGAAAACCAACAAGCTTCCACAACAGAAGAAAAGAGTCAAGACAAAGAAATGCTGCTTTTCATTTAATGTCCACATGTGTGGAAATGTCACTGAAGACTGACAGCTGCAGTTCTGACATACATAAAAAGACAAAAGACTCGGGTTACACAGCAACTTGCCAAGACGCTTTTTCCACACAATCACACTGTCACCGAGCAAAAAGAGAGAGAAAAATCGGATCAATAGGCAGAGATCGGAGGCGACAGGTTTGAGAGAGAAAAGGCTCGGTGTCTCAGAAGGATTTAAGGAGGATGTTAGGTGTTGTACACAGCAGGTATCATCCAGAAACTTTTCCCCTTTAGGAGCTTCTAAATTAACCTAAAGCTAACTATAGTCGCACTAAGCCGAGAATCCCTGACCGCCAAAGAAATGATGGAAAACCTGAAGCCGGGCCAGACTTGCATTAGATTTTACTGTCATATGACATATGTGGTGACACCACATATGTCACCACATATGTGGTGTTTAAAGTTACACAGGGGTCATTTCAGGTCAAGGAGCTACACTTTTCCAGTGCACAATTTCCAACGAATGGATTCAAGCAATAGACAGGAAATTAAATCTGATGGAATTTCTGTTAGAAAGAGAAACTATCCTGAAACTGTAAAAAATAAAAAAACACCTGCCAAAGTCATCTGCAGTCTACTTGCATAGCTTCAGAGTGAAGCTTTTACGAGTCACATGACCTTAGCACTGCAGATTTCAAAGATAGTCTCAGTCTTTCCATATGATGACTTCCTTCTCCTGGTATCTAACCCAGAAATAAGATTATATCATTTCTCCGCAGGAGGCAAGCCATATTATGCCCTACTTTCATCTCTGTAATGGCTAATCAGCTTACAGTTTTGAGAATTACATGTTTTGTCTCTTTAAGTGAACATTGACAGACCCTACACATGTTGTATTGTTGCAAACAGTTAAGAGACAAGATGAGCTAATATTGTGCAGCTTAGATCATTACCTTGTTTAAAAAGTTAAATTATTTAGAAGAAAAACACTACAGATCTGAAGTGTCTAAAGAGTATTTGTCCTCTGATAAAAGGTGAGAAAAAACCCTTATTCATATTTGACAATGCAACCCAACAAGCACCAGTAGCAATCCCGCCTCTTCCAAACTGTTATTTCCTCTTGCCGAAATGCCACATTAACATAAGGGGGCCGAACCGAGCCATCAACGAAGACGTGCGACATTTGACAACCTCTAATTTTAGTGCTGCAACTCTTTTCTGAAGCAATGCATTCACCCAAAAATTACCCCTTGCTTTACAAGGCCGACAAAAATCATTTATCTATCTGTCCACCCCAGCAGAAAGCCTCATGAGTGTGGAGAAGTGGGTTTTAAGTGTGCATCACCAACTTGAGTGAGAGGGGCGGTGTTAAAGGAGGAATGAATTAACAAAAGCAGGAGAAAATAAACTGGGTTGTCAGAAAAGGACTTTCATTGAACTCTGTCACGAGCAGATTTTGTGTCGTCTCCAGTGTCAAGCAGAGCTCACTTTTCCTCAGAACTGTGAAGACATCTGCCACTCTGGACCGGCAAGTTTCAGCAAGTTATAACACATCCACATCATGTGCTGCATACTTCATCGTCATTAACACACATTGGGCACATTGTGCTGCAGTTTGCCAAAACAGAACGAATTAATGGATTTTAACTGGCAGCTGAAGTCCATGCAGGAATTGGTGGTCAGTACCATAAACCTTTGCTGTTGCTTCTTATAATTTACAGGTTCTCGCAACAGAAAACTACATTTAAAAAATGATGACCAATGGTTAAAGGATTAGTCACCCACCAAAATAACCATCCCTGGTAGTCTTAGTAAATACATACTTGGAAGGAAGTTAAAGGAACTTTCTAGTGTCTTCAGAGGTTAGTGTTTTAAAGTGACTCCATATTGGTTTTTGAAACCAAATGGAACAATTTGTGTTATTTCTGTTTCATTTCCATCTTCCTGGATGAAATTTGTGAATTTTATGCTAACATTTTCTACTAGGCGAAGATATTTTGATGTACCACAAATCAATTTACATCAATAGTACGTTTGGAGCGTCTGTTAGGTTCCACTTTATTGCTAAGATGGTGTCCACTGCACGTATTAATGCATATTTAGTATTTCAACTATTAAACTAAGCATTTGAGAAGGAGTCTCAAGTATTAACTTTTTCACGTATTTGTGGTGTAGTTGTGGTCCCCAAATCAACTTTCAACTTTGTGAATTTTTTTTGTCTAAAACAAAGAAATACTTTAATCGCTAAAACTGGCATTTAAAGCAGAAAACCATCAACTGGCATAAATTTTTTGTTCCAGTATTTTTTTTTCCCTACTTCTCACCATATACAACAGATATTTTCTTGACAATTTTGAACCAAAGGGAAACAGGTGGAGCACAAACTGAAAGGATCCCGAGAGCTAAATATAAAATAAAATTAAACTAAGGACAGAACATCAACCTTTATCATTATTATAGGGTGTGTGGAAGGTCGATCAGATCAAAAAAGTAAAACTTAAAGCCAGAGTGGAGAGATTCAGGCTTAGATGTGCCTCTACACTCTTAACAGCTCCTTTCTGCCTTGATAAAAGTTAAAACATGTCTCACTTTATCCATCCCTTTTTGCTTCGCTCAGTTTCTGAGGTTGTCAAACTCTGAAGAGAAAAGGAAAATGTTACAGACAGTGCCTGCATATCTATCTGCCCTTTGTCAGGAAAATAAATGATTTCTCCTCATCTTCCGTTATCCTGTGACAGGTGGAGGGGTCCGAGGTCTGACAGCAGGATACTTCAAGGGAGAAACTTTATTCACAACCTCAAAAAAACCAAGCGCTATATTAAAAAACAATGGACAAGTCCCGGAGGAGCTGCTGTAATCAGGTTAAAGACAGGTGAACATCAGACAATGAGAGCTGCTCCATAGGAGAATGGGAACAGGTCCGTTAAGAGGTCAAAAATAGACGTGCTCTGTAACTGCTTTGTCCTCGGCGTGTGGGCTCAGAGCCAACCATCCTCTGACCAAGCTGCGTACCTCTGTCTGCATGCAAAGCATAGAAAAGGAGCGTAATGGCCAAATAATCAATGCTGTCCGCTTTACAAGAGAAAAGCTGCTTTGGTTGTCTTGTGATGCCTGGTATTAGGTTGATAAAATCTGCCATCTGAAACAGATCCGACCCTAACACCAATTAATCTGTAAACCAAAAATTATCAAATGTTCACATCCTGCAGATAGTTTGAAAGTCTTCTTGCGTGGGGTGATTTAAGATCAAAAATTGTTCAGACGCCTGCCATTTTTATCCACCTGCACACGTCGCTTTGCTCCAGCCATCGTTTCCACCAGGGAGGAGAACTTCTACAAAGCTGAGGTAGCGTAATGAGATTCCCTCCGAAAAAAAAGGAAGCTACTGCAATCATAAATGCACCTAAATGTGGCGGTGGTGAGTAAAACAAGACTCTCTGGAGAAACACGCTTTTTCACTTTAAAGATGAGCACTTTAGCCATCACAAAGCCTGGTTACCCTTTGCAAACTGAAAGGATTTGGGTGTTTAATGCATTCCTGGCCTTTATTCACGGCACAGACAACTTTATCCAAGATGACACTCCGCCTCAGCCGTTTAGAGGTCTGACAGGACATGCATATAGGAGAGGGGCTGAGCTTTTAAAGCGGAAGTCTACTCTGCTTTTGGGGGGAGACTGAAACTTTAAAAGTGTCTTTATTTCTAGGTTTTATCAACAACTCACAGCCCATCTTTCCTCGCTCTCTGTCTGCAGCTGCA